CCCATGTGCAGAAAAACACCCCCAAAGCATGATGCTACCACCCCCATGCTTCACAGTAGGGATGGTGTTCTTGGGATGGTACTCATCATTCTTCTTCCTCCAAACATTTAGGCTAACATATTCTCCATCTCCCAGCCAGGTTTCAGTAAGACAAAATAAGTCAATATCATAATCTGATATTAGTTAATTTACTAGTACACCTTTAGAAGAGAGAGATCTGATGTTTAAGAGTCCACATTTAATTTTCCTATTGTTTTGCACTATTGCTCTTGTGGTTTTAATTTTTATGAGGTTTTTAAGCACAGCTCCTCTTCTGTTTACCTTTGATTTAAATAATTTCGATGGTCGGGGGGCAGACACTGCCGCTATAGGATTTTCACTAAGTAACTCCTGAAATGGAGGAGCAGAGAAGTGTGTTAGACTGCGACTCTGCCTCCTGGTCTAAACTCTGGGTTGTCATGGATTTGGTCCACTAATAAACTTGGCCAGATTTCTAGAAATGAAAGCTGCTCCTTCCCAAGTGGGATGGATGCCGTCTCTCCGAATCAGACCAGGTCTTCCCCAGAAAGTCTGCCAATGATCTACAAAGCCCACATCGTTTGCTGGACACCACCTCGACAACCAGCGGCGGAATGACGACATGCGGCTATACATGTCATCACTGGTCAGATTTGGCAGGGGTCCAGAGAAAACTACGGTGTCCGACATTGTTTTTGCATATGTACACACCGACTCAACATTAATCTTAGTGACCTCCGATTGGAGTCATTACCGCCGACGTGAATAACAATCTTACTGTATTTACGTTTATCCTAAGCCAGCAGTTTCAAATAAGACTCAATGTCGCCCGCTCTGGCCCCAGGGATGCACTTAACTATGGCCGCTGGCTTTGCTAACTTCACGTTTCTCAAAATGGAGCTGCCAATGATCACAGTTAGTTTCTCAGCGGGTGTCGCTGAGTGGGGAAAATCTGTTAGAAACGTGAACAGGTTGATGGTGCCCCGTGGGCTTTGAATGCTTACGACTATTCCTCCTTCGGACAGTCACCCAGCCACCCTTTCCTGGCTGCACAGGGGATGCCGGGGGAGGGCTACCACAGGCTAACTCAGGCCGTTCCGCACCGACTACCGGGGACTGGCTAGCTACAGTAGCTAAAGACTGAAGCCAAAGACTGATCTACCAAGGTGCGGAGCCGGACTTCTAAATCACTGAGCCTCGCCTCCATGTCTAAAAATAAACTATACTTATTACACGTACCATTACCGCTAAAGGAGGCAGAGGAGAAACTGAACATCTGACATACCGAGCAGGAGAAAGTAGGAGAGAGAGAGAGGGAGAAGGAGAAGCCATCGCTAGCTGCTGAGCTAATGTCGCTAACGGCTAAGCTAAAGTACTGTAGCGTTAGCTACCAAAACGTTTGAACAACTATGAGATTGAACAGCTGTCACTAAACGTTGGAAAGAACTGTGAGTGCTTAGGCAAAATTACTGTAAGAATAAGTGTTTAGCGGACAGTTGGTTGCTGTAATCTAACAAATTTAACTGGTATTTAGCGAGAGCAGCACAACACGGTACCAACACACAAGCACCGGAAATGGAAATGAGTCGACACGCTTACCGCAGTACGTCAGCAACGTCAGAGCCTCAGGCAGTGCTGCTGAATCGCTAACAGTGTCTGAAAGGGAGGGCTCGTCATGGATGTGGGTCATTTTATTTACTGTGAAATTATTATTCATTCATTTTACTAAAATGGCCATTACAAATTTAAAAATAAATAAATTAAGGACATTTTGCATTGAAAAAGCATAGAAACATCTCGAGGTTCCAATAAACATTATAGCATCTGTTGAAAACAGTCAAAGATTACAGCAGCCAAATCATTCACTAGGCTACACAGTACTCTTCTTGTGGTGCGCCTATTGCCTGAAAACAGGAGATCATTTCAGCCCTCAGCCTGATGAGGTGAGAGTTTTATCATCAATCTCTTTACAAAATGACACGTAGACAGATGCTAGACACCCAAACACAAGAAAAGCAATCTAGTGTATGCGGTCCAATGCAATGAGGAATGCACAGACCTGTATATTGGGGAGACTAAACAACCACTACACAAACGCATGGCTCAACACAGAAGGGCCAACTCCTCAGGTCAAGACTCTGCAGTCTACTTACATCTGAAGGACAGAGGACACTCGTTTGAGGACCACCAGGTGCACATTTTAGACAGAGAAGATGGATGGTTTGAAAGAGGTGTCAAGGAAGCCATCTACACCAGGGTTGAGAAGCCGTCATTGAACAGGGGAGGGGGTCTACGCCACCACTTATACCCCACTTACAATGCTGTCCTTTCATCACTTCCCAGGAAACTCAACAAACTTAACCCATTGGCCTCAGGTGAAGATACCAACGATGGTCGTTCAGTCTTGGCCACAGGTAGTCTCAACGACTGTAACGACTGTCGTCACAACACCAAGGAACACTAACGAACCAGCGGTATCGATGACCCGGGCCAACGACCCCACTGAGGTTAAATAGCTGAGTTTCCCTGCCAGTCAGTCAGAACTGAAGAAGTCCTTTGGATAAGGGACGAAACGTCTTCCAGTATCTTCAACCAAGTCCAGTTGCCCTTCATTTTAACCCTCGTTGGACACGGTGACATTTATATAATCCCATAGTCATATAATCCCATTTAAAACTGTCATCAGAGGACTCTACTGTTGTAATGACGTGCAGACTACATGGGCACTATTATTATAACATGAAACACAGCAGATCAGTGCTGAATGTTCTGGTTGATATTACAGGCTAATAATTTGACTTCAGCAGCCGAGTGCACTGTTTTGTAACAATTGTAGCTGCTGGATTGGTGTGATGCGCGGATCGGCTCGGACATTAAGGGAACTCATATAGGCCTATGCATTAATCATCCACCCGCCCCCACCAACTAATTATTTTATCAGATTTAGAGACCACACCTGCATGGACATTTTACCACACCTCCACCGGTCCCTGTAGCTTTCCATGTGATTTCTTTATTGTGTTATATAAATGTACTCTGAGTGTTTGTTATCTGTAACGATTTACTTTGATGATTAGAGAGGCTGCTGTCAGTCATTTAAACATTTCCATCTGTGCAGTAATGTCACAGCAAATATCGTGGGACAAAACAAAAAAACCCTGCAGTAATAAACTTGACAGGATAGACAGAGGAAATAGAATTAAACTTTCAGCTTCTGTAATCCATGTTTAGACTCTGATAGAGCTCGGGACTGATCAGGAGGACGGTTGATTTACTCCAAACAGTTTCACTGTATTAACCTGGACTGTGTGTGAGAACTTTTAGATGTGTTGAAGAACACAAAACATGAATTAACATTAGATTTTGACTGATCCTGTCGGCTGTCGGGAGATAAATACGCACAGCATCTCTGGAGAGGCTCTTCATCCAGCCGCTATTCAGTGTTCATTTTTACAATCCTGCTGCCCATCCACACACCACATTCAACAATAACAACATCATCACATCAGTGATATCAAAGTGAAATTACATTAAGGAATGTGGTTAGAACAGCGCTTTATGAGACGCTACACAAATGGTGAAGGGCAGAAAGTTTGATTGCGCATTTGATTACAGCTGCATGTCATGCCTCTTTTAAACTTCACAGCAGCTGAAAAGACTTCCTAAAGGATACAGTGATGTATCCTCGCTAGTAGCTCCTCCAGCAAGACTCCTCGATGTGCATTTTAGGAATTGAGATGTCCTTCAAGATGGTGCACTGAGATCGATTTCCGGGTCACAGGCTCCAGGAGGCACAAATTTGGAAATGAGAAAGGTCCCCTGATCAGCGTGTAGCCAGTAGTTGAAGGTGGTTACGCCCCTACCCCATCAATGCAGAGCCTGTGCGACTGATTCCAGCTCCCAGTAACCAATGGAGGCCAGATTGACCACTGGAATACAGTGCGAAGGTAGTTTTCTTGCCAGTTCGGTGTTCGGATCGGTTCATGTTGTTTTCACTTGGAGGCTGCTGAGCGCAGTTTCAGTACCCGCTTGCCCTGTGCTGCTCCTGGCCTGAAAACCTCCAGTGCTTGAGTAAAAATGTAAACCTAAATACACACCCTGGTGCTCTGAGCTCCCAGTCTGGGCAGGGTAAGCTAATTTGACCAGTAGTTGCAGGCTAACTAAGCTAATTAGATAATGGCAACTAGTTAGCAGCAGTTAGCTGACTTGTTACAGCAACAAGGAAAGCTGTCTGTCCATTGGGGAACTCTGTAAATCAGAGTTGAGGCAGAGCAGCTGGGGAACATCCGGTTTAAACTTGCTCTCAATTTACCAACACAACTTTATAGGAAGATAGAAATAGTTAAACACAAACACTGTGTCTCTTCCTAATCTTACATGTAATGATTGCACCCCTTCTTTTTTGGTTTTGGCAAACTTATTGTATCAATGTGCAGTCATCAACATTTACCTTAGTAACTACGGCTGCATGGTCTGAAACGCATCTTTCTAAACTTTACTTAAGGTTTTAGTAGGTGTGTGATGGGTCAGTCTTTCATTTCGTGCAGTCTCTCAACAATGTCCAACCACTAACAAAACTTGATCTGTCTTCGTGTTGCATTTTCCCTTGTCATGTTACAGTAATATATCACAACATTCTTAAGCAATTCACAACCCAATATCACTTTCAGCTCTCGAGCCATATATCATCCAAATATTTTTAAATTTTGGAGGATGTAGTTTTGGTATTGAACTACTGCATTATTCTGAGGCGTTTCCGTTGATCCTCGATGGAGATTTGCATTCTCATTCCCCCCTCCTTATCTACATATATACACAGTGTAGATTCCTCTGCTCAAACCTTGATCAAAAACACTGAAGATCACTCTACCAACAGTGTCCTTTTATGAACAATGTCACTGTTTCACAAGGGAAATGTGGTTTCATTCCAGTCATTTACAGACTTACAAGTCTACATTAACAAAAACCCACAAGACCAGGTATACTGTGTTATAAAATGGTTCATTTATTCCATCCCCCCCCTTTATCTTCATCTTTATCTTCAAGTCTTCTGCAGCATCCTTATGGTGCCTAGAAGAAAAGAAATTGATTAGACTTCAAACTGCGCTGGTAGCACATTTGCATAGTTTACAGACTCACCTTTTCATCAAAGCACCGTTGTTCACATGGCCTATCTGCTTCAAAACACACTTCTGTAGAGCACATGAAATAGATCTACAGGGGGGAGGGAAAAAACCCAAACACATTCATCATGCCAGAAAAATAAACAGTTTACACATTCCATAACAGTGTTTTCTACAGAATGACGGCACTGTGGCACATGCGTTCTCACAGCAACACGAGCCGCATGTGACCCCATCGAAACCAACATGGTACCAAATGACAGCGGTAACAACCAGGTGTTGTCAATTGTGGATGGCCTCATTCTCAGAGTGATTAATAATTAAACTGTCAAAAAGGGGTCACCAAATATACTTTGGCAGCCATTAATACACAAAAACTCTTTATGGGAAACAGGGATAAGTTGCCTCTACTGTACAAAATTTCAAGTGAAGACAATTCAATTGGAGCAGAGACTTCTTCACATTTGAAAACTAGACAAGCTGTAGTACACAGACTTATTTTGTAAGTTTCATTTCAGCTTTGCAATCAAAACAGCGGGATAGGATACATTTAATCAACAGGTCACTATTCCATTTTAAAAAAGGACCCCGTAATGAACAAGTCACCACATTACTGTGTCAGGGAACTTCTCAGTCTGCACCGGTTGTACACAGCATAGCTTTGACCATTTAGACCCATAATGGCTTCCTGAATACTCACTTCTTCATCAAGGTATCTGTTTGTCTTTTGAACAATAAACTGGAAGGCTTCAACCACAAACCGCCTCTGGTGACGATTTGTGGAGTCAATGATTTTAAGGACGGACACATTTGGAGCATAAAGGTTGGGACACCTGGAGACAAACATAACTCATGGTTAGGTAGACAGAGGGCGAGGAGGATGTGTTTTATTCCACATGGAGTTCATTCATGCTTACCCTTCATAAATAAGCACCAGAGCATTCCTTGCAGAGCGAGGGTAAGCTACACAGTAGTTGACGAGGATTACCGCATCTGGTTTTGGAGATATCAGGCGCAGCTCAAGATAGACTGGATTGCCAAGCAGCAGTCGCAAGGGCCGATTGTTTGTGGGCAAGTAGCTTGAATACGTCTGATCTGTTGGGGTTAGACAAAGGGTAGACTCGTGTGCAGTCCTACTCAAGCAGAATTGATCAAGATTGTACTTTTTGCAATTGGTTTAGAAAATAAGGCATAAATACCCGACCTTTAGCAATTCTCAAGTCAACAGCATATAAGCCATTAGAGAGGACCGCTGATGGCAAGCTGGAACTCGGGGTCTTCACCATGTAGCCAGCACTGGCTAGTGACTGTGGAGCAATCCCTGCTTTGCTATAGCGACACTCAACCATGAACCTATGCAAATGTGGATTAACATTTAAGCTTAGCACTACACACACAAGCAACAGAGTAAGTAAGTAAAGTTTATTTATAAAGCACTTTTCTCAGATAAAATCACAAAGTGCTGTACAAAAGAGTAAATAAAAACAGTATAAAATGTATATAAATATATAAAATTAAAATGACACTAGTGAAAACCCATCAACCAAAAGCCTTCTTAAATAGACATGTTTTCAGATCCTTTTTAAAAGAGACAACAGTGTCTGCCAGACGCATGGACAGGGGCAGAGCGTTCCACAGTCTGGGATCAACAGACTGAAATGACATGTCCCCTCGGGTCTTAGGGACTGCAAGTAGGTTCTGGCCAGAGGACCGAAGACTGCGGTCAGCGGAATACGGCTTCAAAAAAGGTCCAGGATGTAATGTGGGGCCTGCCCATTTAACGCTCTGAAAGTCAGCACTAAAATCTTAAAAATCAATCCTGAATTTTACAGGGAGCCAATGGAGGTCCAATAAGACTGGTGTAATAGGAGAACTTCGAGGGGCACCTGTTAAGTCTAGCAGCAGAATTTTGAACAATTTGCAATTTGTTCAAAGTAGACTTATTCAGACAGATAAAAACAGCGTTGCAGTAGTCGAGTCTTGTCGATATGAAAGCGTGAATTATCATTTCCAGATCCTTCTTTGACAACATTTTGCGGATTTTAGAGATGTTCCTAAGGTGATCGAACGAGCTGTTTTGAGTGTGTCTCCAGGGACATGGCCTGGTCAAACACAGAGTGGAAGAATTGTGCCCACCGAGTCAAAGTGTATTGTGTAACCCACTAACCTGAGCGGATCACGTGTTGTAATTATGCCATACTGGAAGGTCAGAGATTGGACGGCAGTCTGCACTTCAGCCAGGTAGATCATCGTCTCACCAACTTCCTGTCAAGAAAAGTCATATTTGAATGCAAGACTTTACCTTTAAGTGCACCTTATGGCACACGATTAAAAATCGGAAATCTAGATGCAACACTATCAACCTGTGACATAACTGTGTGCTACAATGGCAGGTCAGGGTGAGGAACTTGAGGCAAATGTAGAGGTCTGCAGCATCAAACACGCTGCCTATATTTGGGACAAGAGTCTATCAGGGACAGGCCTTTTACTTCCTTTCACTCCAAACTCTTGCTCAGCAAGTTGTTAATTTCAACCAGTGAATTTTACTTGTATAACATTCACTTATTTACCATACCTGTAGGTCTGAATTGTTTCTTTAAAAGTAACTGAATGATTGAACTGCGGGGAAACACACTGATCTTAAGATGAGTGCGTGTCCATATTGACAAGTTTAAACATTTCCATATATTTTTAGGAGCGATCTAAGCAGGTTAGAACTAGCTGAAGATGGCGACTCGGTGGGCTGTAAGGTGTTTTATACATTTAAAGAACTTCTCTGAAAACCAGACCCGGTGTCTAATTGAGTCCTGTGTTTATTTTTTAAACACGTTTCTACACCAGGCCAGTAAGCAAAAAAAAAAGAAAAAAGGGACATCTAGGGCAATCACTATCCAATCTGATTATTTTGCTCATATGTGACTCAGCAGCTTTTTTTGTAACAGTGTGAAAAGTTCAAGTCACATGGAATCTGATTCTTTACAATTCGGGCTACTTTAACATGTAGCCCAAATCAGATAAAGATTCCATTATGCAGATAAGCATAATGACAATGAAGTTGAATCTAATCAGAAGTGGTACTAAATGAAGAGCCGTTTGGGAGCCAAAAGGGCCGGCTCTTGGAAAGGAAGGCAGCCATAAGATCTGACTCCCTTCAAAGAGCCCTAATCCCATCACTGAATCCTACTACGGCGAAGCCATGACCCACCCTGCTCCGATTAGCTCTGCCGGTCAAAGAACAGGACGTTCTTGCTGTTCTGCTGTCTTTAGCAAATCAGCTGAAAGTTGTTAAACCGTAAAACGTCTTCTAAAATGCAGGTCAACCCTGTTGCATAAAATTAAATAAAAAACTAACTTTTAGGTTGCTTTTTTTTTTTTTTGCCTGAGATTGTTAACGTAACAAGATCCAGTGAAAATATTTGATAGAATAAACAGTGTTCGAAAGGGTAGTAAGCCATGACTCAGCATAAATACCACCACCATCTCCCCTTCAAGGATCTTTGTAATTTTCAGTCAATCTCAATCAGATGTGGGCAATAAACTGGACTTGAGCATTAAGGTCTGCACTGTGAATATAGCTTAACTAGGACTAAGCTTTCAAATTAAGTTTTACGGTAGTCAAGTTGGGAAGCATCTTCCAACTTGCTAAAGTGTAACAGAGGGGAGGACTTACATAAGCATGAACTCCACATTCTGTAACGTTGAACTTAAAGATGGCAACTTTGTCGTTGGCAATGACTGGTTTACAGTTTGTACTCCCAGTAATAACAAGCTTGGTGGGGTCCACAGGGATGGATGCAGAGTTGGCACGAATGGCGAACACAAAGTGTTGATCGACAGTGCACTCTAAAGAGAGAGAGGGGGTGGGAGTCACTTGAAATACAGACATTTCCTATTTGAATGTTTTTTAAACCACTTCTCCCTAAACAGAAGCCTCACCATCCATTGGGTAGTAGCAGGCAGATGTAGAAGAATCCACACAGCATCCCATCATCTCACAGTCTAAGGACAATATTCCTGACTGGCCACAAGTCATCTGCTCCCCTGTGGGGATGCCACAACCTAATAGGGCAATGACAAAAACATTTTGACATCAAAAATCTAAGTCGTGTGAAATGGTTACCATTCAACATTTCTATTCAGCACATTTGCTGAACGCAGTTTCTACTCACCATGTGTCTTTGGTGTTGGTGGTACTTGCGATGCAGGCTGTTGCGGCCGCTCTGGGATTGGGTCAATGTACTTTAATGTGGGACTGGATTGGCCACTGGAGCGAGGGAGCATACCTGGGTCCAACTTCAGACTCCTCTCACAAGATGCAGTAGCAACTTGTGTCTGATCAAACTCATTGACATACAACAACTGCAGGCTGTAGCGGTCACTCTGTAACAATTCACAAAGAGAAATTAACTCAATTCAAGACATGCAAAACTACACAAGAACTTTGTAAAGACTACAGAGCCAAGGCAGTTACTTTACAGTACATTTACAGAAACCTACCCGTTTCACATAGCACCCGGTGAAGGGTACAGCCAAGGTGTTAGTCAGAGGGTTTACTTCATAACCACAAGACTCTGGAGCATCCATAACAGACAGCAAGTCCTTTGAGCCTAATGAACAAAGTGAAAACTTAGTAAGTTCACAACATGCATTCAGTAAAATAAAGACTTGAGTTTCAATAGGCAGAAAAGTCAAGTACATACCCACAACTTTGACTTCACTTAATGAACCTGTCGGCAGAGTAATTTGGAAGCCAACGTCACTGCAAACCACATCTATCCCAGTCCGACGCTGACTGGTACTGCTGGTGTGGCTCCTTGAAGGGATATATTCAAATTCCATCTCAAAACCACCATCAGTACCTCTGCGCCATGTTCTTGGACTAGAATCTACTGCGTCAGTCTGGTCTCCATGGTTAGCAAAACTGTAGAAGTTTCCACTGGTGGTGGCACCTTCAACTTGAAGTAATGAATCCTCAAGAACTGCATCTTCACCATCATCGTCCTCCCTGCTGTCATCTGGAGGGGAGAAAGGTCATTGTTACCAATGTCACAGATGACTGCTGTCAAAAAAACCCAGCCATTTCCTTGTCAAATCGATCTAGATAGCCCAGTCAAACGGTTTCTTCCAAAGTCCTTATGACTAAGCGGTTGCTAGAGTGGACTGAAACACAAACATCTCAGGTCATCTATGCTTGATATTATGGAAATACATAGGCTAATACATTTCTCACACATTTGATCCACTAAGTTAACAATTTAGTTTGTTTTAAACAGGCAGTAGAGCAGACTATAGCATTACAGGACAATAGTAAATGTTAACATTTAAGAGGAGGATCATTGTAGGAGCCAATTTGATAGTTTATATTGATTTGTTTGTAAATTTAGATATTTTTGCATTATTTGTTAATGCTCATGGCCTTGCAGGTCCAAAAGGCATAAAGGAGTGTGCCAAAGCCACCCTAAGATGGTCCTAAGCACCCCCAAATAATAAGAAAAATAATTTTAAGATTTTTTACAGTGCAGACATGTACTCAACGAGAAGCAAGAATATTGCTAAATACTTTAGAATACTACAAATATAATAATTTGTATTTATTGTCTTAAATAATCCTGGTTGTTTCCTCTGCTTCATAATTTAAATCCCTGATGTGGTCGGGCACTAGGACCCTGAGGGAGGCTGCCTTTCATCGCTGCTCTGCTGAGCGCGCGCACGCACACACACACACACACACACACACACACACACACACACAGTGAAGGAAGATTGATTCAGCGTAGCGAGTGATACAGAATGAAACTGTAAGTTGTTAGTAACGGTTACTTGCTGAACTTAAGCCACGTTTACATGAGCTGAAGGAGGGGGGGTATTTTAGTTAGCTATGGAAAACAGTAGTGTTGATAATGTGAATGCCGTTAATATTGCCTCTCTCAAGTAGCCTATTTAATAAAACAAAAAAATATAGATGTTGCCTAAATGGCTAGGCTATACATTAGCATATACCCACAGGAAAATATAAAATAAAACCAATCATACATACACACACACACTACATGTATCCATACATATAGTAATCATTACTCCAAATCTTTTATTCCTTCCACAATCAGGTTATTAAAATCAGACAGTAGCCACTTTAAAGTCTCTTTAGAAACAGCTTATGTATGTTTGTATGCAAGCCGAACTACAGAGCAAAATCACACTGATTGAACCAATCCACAGTGCAGTAACAGTAATTAAATAGCATTCTTTGGACCTGCAACTTATCTAATAGAGAGAGGAATTAGACATGGCATTACTATCACATTTACATGAACTGGGTAGCATTTAAGTCCAGTCTGGCCTAAGTGATTTCATTCCATTCAGTATTGATGTGTATAAAAGCTAAAGCTCGTGCCTGCTGCACCGTGACATAGCGAGTACCAAGTACCCCCAGACCTACCCCCATGATTTGAGGATTCATGATAGAGACTGTATTGTCACTGTATACAAGATACAATGAAATGAAGTTTAGAGCAAAACACAAAATTGCATATAAGCAACAATGATTTCTATAAAATAGTGTTAAAAAAACAGCACATTTTATTCTCTTGATATATAGGCTATATATAAAAAACCCACCCACATTTTTTGCTTCTAACGCCCATGTTACATATAGTAACTTTTGTTCAACAGAGGAGAAATGAAAAAGTCAGAGTACGTCTATCGCTTTTTATTTGTTAACATCTTGGCTTCTTCACATAAGTGTAGTCCTAATACAGTAACAAAAGAAACGAGTGCAAAGATTTTGCAAGTACAAGTTACACATACCATGGGGGCTAAGCCCCCCGTCTTTCAATCCTAGTGACGTCCATGCTTGTACCGTTGCCTTTAATACTTCAGTTAAGGTTTAGTTCATACAATCATTTTCTTTCAACCTCTCATCTGGTCATTATTTATTTTTCTGGTCATTTTTACAAGCAAGCAAGCGTCCTCGTCAGCCACTGGTCAATCCAATCATAAAGTCTGTGAATTAACTCTGTAAATAACGGTTACAGAGTGATGTCTGTGTGTTACTGTCCATCATAAATTACATAGTGGTACAGCTGTAAACACACAAGATTTGTTAATATGATGGAGTTCTTAATGCAGTAATACAGGTTTATGTGAAAGAAGACGTTTGCAAGAACCTGCTTTCAGTGACCACACGCTTATTATCAGTGCTGTGTCATTGGTGGTTGATTACCTGGCAAGGTAACACTTCGTGGTTCAGACCGCTGGCGGCTCTCATAAACATTAGTACGTTGAACTTTCTTGAGCCGCACCCATCCCTCTACTGAAACCAGCAGAGTCGCAGTCAGGACTACCAGCAGCTCAACTCTAACACCAGCCATGAATCAATGTGAAAGCTTTCCTTTAGCTGCTGAAAACCTAGACAAAGATGTAGCCTCTTGAAATGCTGCAAATGGTGGTTTGAAGTTAATTGAGTGCACCTGGTGACCACTGATTGGCACTCGCTTACTCAACTAAAGTCACAGGTTTGGGAATGAAAACCGCCTGTTTACTAAAGGAAAGGCCTATTTCATGTTTCTAAGATGTTACAGTACTTGCTACAATTGACCAACATTTAATTATGTAAATATATATGACATTATCTTAATATATTATATATATATAATATTATAGGCACACAGTCTGTGCAAATATTTTATTGGAGACTTTTTGAAACCTGGAAGTTTTTTCTGAAGTATAACTGGAATTTATTTTTCAGACATACATTTAGAATAATGCAAGCATGTTCAATTATTTATTTATTTTTTTAAAATAACATGTATATTGCATGTTACACATTTAAACAACACAGGGTTTTCCTTTGGGTGCTGCATTATATTGAGGTGTCTGTCATAGTCTTCCTCATGTATGTACATGTCATTGTTTTATAAAATATGTGCCATATTAAAAATTTAAATTAAATAAACATTACAGGCATCATATACATTTTATCACAAAAATGTTGAATAGTTTACACTTTACAATTATACCTAATAAAGGGTGTTCTTCCATGATGGAACAGAAATCACACCTTTCAGCCTCTTTAACCAGAAGAAAAATGTAAGAAATTTCTCAGGGTGGCAAAAGAGTTTATTGCATAGATTTCAGTACAAGAACACAAACACATAGTTGAGTACTGCACCACAAGTCAAATAAGCAGACTATTCAATAGTCTTTTATTTAAAAAAAAATATATGTTAAGATAGGCAAAAGAAACCTCTTTATTTCCTCTCCAGTTCACTATTAAGTTTTCATATGAAAGCCAGATAATGTTTGACAAGTTCTTTGCTTAATTTCTTTTGACTTAATTCACTGAGTCGGTTGTGACAGACAAGCATACCATGTTCCCTAAACAGGGATGTCAGATCAGATATAGATTTTAGTTTAAGACCCTCACCATATGGCCCTGCAATGGACTGGCGACCTGTCCAGGGTGTACCCCGCCTTTATCCTGATGTCAGCTGGGATTGGCTTCAGCCCCCCCCGCGACCCTGTACGCAGGATAAGTGGTTGACGATGGATGATTTATATGGAAGTCCCATCTTGCAGGCATTTGGAGCCACTAGTATATGTAGTGACTTAATAGAACTTTGTTCTTTATTAATGTCAAACATTTTGGTAAAAGTGTCAGATACCACCCCGACTCAAAACTGTTTAGTGAGATGACTAACAGCAGGCCTGCTATTAAAATACTGTTACTACCAGTATAAACATACTGAGTCTGTTTCAGTACTAAATTAAAAACAGTAATGAATAAGGCTTGTTCATAGTAACAAATGCAATATATTGAAGCACATGTCGTTGCCCATCTGCATAAGGAGATCCACTCCAGCATAAAGGTGCAGGTCTTCTCCACATGTCGGGTGTCAGAGCCCCAGGCTGAAGTCGCTGAAATCCCCGAGTGTCCAGTCACTCACCGCACAGCAAAAAGAGAAGGGATCAATTTTTGGTGTTTGACAAGTTACTTAAAAACTGTAATAAGTTACAAATTAATCCTTTAAAAAAGTATTACTTTAATGACTGGGTGATAAGTTACATTACCCACTGCGTTACTATATTGCTTTAGCTACCACCCTCTCCTCCCCCAAACACGTTTTAATTATATTCATGACAGCAGCAAGGACTAAGTTTATGGTTTAAAGCAGAGCTTTTGATCCTTTTCTGCACATGCATTTATAAGGAGTGTATGGCCTTCAGTATCTTTACAAAACATGCATTGCCATCACCACCATGACTTAAACTCATGTCGCCACTGTTGCAACTCAAAAAATTTTAGTTGCCAGTGATAAAATAAAGGTTAAGAATGAAAGCCAAGCTATTGCATCCCAGAAAATATTTAAACCTTCATCGTTTGGAGATTAGAGAAAAAGGCACACAGGAACATTACTGATAAGGCAGAAGCTTGGTTCAAAAATATACCAAAAAAAATTTTTTAAATTACAAAACTGGGACTGCTGAAAAGGAAACATGAAACAGCAATAACTAATAAAGTGGTAAGTAAAAAGATTACAATTAGTTTAAAATGGCCTTAATATAAACTCAACTAAAGAAAAAAACTTTTTATAAATGCAGCTACCCAAAAATTTAACAAACTAAGCAGAGGTCACAGACTATGCCGAGTACCCGGGGAGTGCTACCACTACCACCTTGAGTGCAGCACCACAAACCTCACAGCAAGATAGCCAGTCTATATTGTGTCCCCATGACATTACTTAATGCAGAACAGTGAAGGGACCTTGCCACGGGTACCTAGCCTCCCAACAAGAGGGCATCCAGCTCAAAACAAATATAAAGAGAATCAAATTAACAAAGTAACCCAGTTGGCTGGATAAAGGACAAACCATCAGAGAATCTCACAATATATAACTAAAGAAAATCTAAACTAAATTAATACAAGTTAGACAAAAGATTTAAAAAAAAAATGCAAGACTAAACCAAACATTTCAAACCATCAATCTACTCACCAGCTCCGAGATGGGACAAAGATACAACAAACAGTCACAGGGCAGGAGAAAAGGAAGTTCCTAACAGTGTCAAACAACAGAAAAGCAACTAAAATCAACTGCTGAAGGGAAAAAGATGTGCATAACCATATTCCTTTCACATACCTGAGCAACAAACACCAATTACAACCACAACAGGGACAGCTCAAGAAACAGAGGGAGAACAAGGAACACAGGTGTCTTATATAGCCTAAGCCTGATAAGGAGGTTGGCCAGGGGAGGAGTTAAGTCAAGGCTGCATTCAACACCACCACACTAGTGTTGTAGTTATGACCGCTCAAAACGAGACCAAGTCAAGACCAAGACCAGAGTTTATCGAGACCGAGACAAGACCAAGACTTGTAGGGGCTGAGACCAAATCGAGACCAAGGGCCTTTCTCATTTCCCAAATTTCCACCTCCTCGACTCCTCGATCCTCGACTCCTCGAGGCGCATTTTAGTCCCGCCCACCCGAGATGCGAGCTCCAGGAGTCAAGGAGGAGACGCAAGGAGAGAGGAGTGGAGGAAACGGGCATTTAACGAAATGAGATGTCCTTTCCTCGGAGCCCTCATTTTAAAGTGACGTCAATTAAATATGACCTGTTGCACAGCTGCATCATCTGTCCACTGTTTGAGCTGTGATCTCTGTCAGAGCAGCAGAACAGCTTTTGGCACTAAAGGCTACAGATCATTTCTTCACAATCCAGAAACATGTCTGTTAACATTATAACATGTAGAAACATCTCGAGGTTCCAAAAAACATTATCTGTTGGAAACAGTCAGATTACAGCAACCTGATCTTTCACTATGCTACACAGCAGACTAAGACTACCACTTTTTTGCAGTGTGCCTTTTGTCTGTAAACAGGAGATCATTACAGCCCTCATCTTGATGAGATGAGCGTTTTATCATCATTCCCTTTACAAAAAGACACAGTAGCCTAACATTTATCTCATATAGTCCCAATTACAGCTGTCATCACAGGACTCTACAGTTGGAATAATGTGCAGACTACATGGGCACTATTAAAACATGAAACAGATCAGTGCTGAATGCTCTGGTTGATATTACAGCCTAATAATTTGACTTCAGCAGCTGTTTTGTCACGATTATAGCAGCTGAATTGGTGTGATGGGATCGGCTCGAACATTAAGGGAACTTATATAGGCCTATACGCATTAATCATCCACCTGCCCCCCACCAACTAATTATTTTATCAGATTTAGAGACCAGCATCTGCTTGGACGTTTTACCCTCACCTCCACCGGTCCCTGTAGCTTTCCAGGCGATATGTTATATTGATGTATGAGTGTTCTTTAATGATTTACTTTGATGATTAGAAAGGCTGCTGACAGTCATTTAAACGTTTCCATCCGTGCAATAATGTCACAGCAAATATCGTGGGACAAAACAGAAAAAACCTGCAGTAATAAACTTGACAGAGAGGAAACGGAATTAAACATTCAGCTTCTATAATCCACGTTTAGACTCTGATGGAGCTCAGGGTTGATCAGGAGGACGGCTGCTTTACTCCAAACTGTATGGATGTGTAGAAGAACACAGAATATGAATTAACACCAGATCCTGACCAATCCTGTCGGCGCGTCGGGAGATTTATTATTATTAATTTATGTTGCTGTGGCTCGTGCGTAAATGCGCACAGTGTCACTGGGGAGACGCCTCATCCAGCCGCTATTTACTGTTAATTTTTACAATCCTGCATGACATTCAACAATAACAACATCAGCGATATCAAAGTGAAATGACATTAAGGAATGCGGTTAGAACAGCGCTTTATGAGGCGCTACATAAACGTCTCGGGTTACGTATGTAACCCTGGCTCCCCGAGAAGGAGAACGAGACACTGCGTCGGTTACAACACTATGGGAACGCCTCTAGGCGAAGCAGGTCTGAACGTGAATGAAATCACTCCAATCCTATTGGCTTGTTGCTAGAACGGTAAGGTGACGGAATAACCGGAGGAGTATAAAGCACACCTGTACACACTCATCATTAGCTTAAACTATGAAGCAGGCGCTTCAGGCGGGGAGAGAGGTGCGGCGGGCCGACGCAGTGTCTCGTTCCCCTTCTCGGGGAACCAGGGTTACATACGTAAACCGAGACGTTCCCCTTCGAGGGAACTCGAACTGAGTCGGTTACGACACTATGGGAACGAGATACCCACTAAACCGTGCTGAAAACCCCGCCTGCCCCAGTGTGCAGTAAAGTGGCACGACTAAGAGTATAGCGCACGAGTGCCAGGTGCCGAAGGAAGGTCAAGACTGTAAAACCGAATGAATGTGTGCGGAGTGGCCCAGCCAGCCGCTAAACAAACATCCTGCAAAGAGGCCCCGGAAAGGAGGGCTCGAGAGGCCGCTATGCCTCTGGTAGAATGAGCCCTCACAGCCACAGGTGAAGGCAAACCGCGCACCTGATAGGCCAGGGAAATAGTCTGAACAATCCAGTTGCTAATAGTATGTTTGGATGCAGGGAGCCCAGCCCTGGGAGACCCAAAACACACTAGCAGCTGGTCAGCCTTCCTCCAACGGGAGGACCTCAGAGTGTAAATACTCAGTGCTCTGACAAGGCAGAGCAGATGAAGTCTCCCGTCCTCCGCCGTCACATGAGGTGGAGGATGAAATGCCTGCAGCACTGTGGACCCTGCCGCACAAGAAGGCACTTTAGGGATGTATCCTGGACCAGGGTGCAGGATAGCCCTAATATTCCCTGGGGCAAACTCCAGGCTTTGCGGGGAAACCGAAAGCGCTTGGAGATCCCCCACCCTCCTCAGAGAGGTGATAGCAAGGAGAAAGGCCATCTTGAGAGTCAAGTGCTTAGCCTCAGCTGACTCCAGGGGTTCGAAGGTGGTCTCAGCCAACGCCCCAAGAACCAGTGGGAACCTTGGACCGAGTCGCAGGTCTCATCCTCCGGGCACCACGGAGGAAACGTACAACCAAGGGAAGTTTCCCCAAGGACCCCTCCCTCAGAGGGGTGTGGAAAGACGAAATAGCTGCCACGTACCTTGAGGGTGGAAGGGGAAAGACCAGCAGAGAACCGGTCCTGGAGGAACTCAAGTACCTGAACCACCGGGCAGGTAACAGGGTCCACCGACCGCTCCCTACACCAAGTGGAGAAAACGCTCCACTTCAGGCCGTACATCCTCCGTGTGGATGGGGCCCTGGAGCTCAGGAGGGTCTCGACTGCTCCGGCTGTTAGACCCGCCTCTAGGTACTGTGCCCCCTCAGGGGCCAGACCCACAGTCGCCATATGGCGGGGCAAGGGTGAAGAACCCGGGCCTGCGCCTGGGACAGCAGGTCTCTCCTCAGAGGGACCCGCGAACGAGAGAAAACCATAGCGGGCAGTGCGTAGTCTCTTGAGACACAAACAGATCCACGTCTATGGGGCCGAACTCTTCGCACAAGAGCTCCACCACTTAGGGGTGAAGTCTCCATTCCCCGGGCCTCAGCTCCTGCCTCGACAGCAGGTCTGCTCCCTGATTCTGTGTCCCCGGGAGATACATCGCCCTGAGCTATAGTAACCTCTGCTGGGACCACAGGAGGATCTGACGCGCCAGTCTGTACAGAGGGCGCGAGCGCAGACCGCCCTGGTGATTCAGATAGGCCACCACCGGATCCCCTTGCAAAGCGGCCGTCCATGACCGCGCCCCAGCCCGTGAGGGAGGCGTCTGTCAAAATGACCAGCCGGCGACAAGACCCTCCCAGCACCGGCCCCTGGGACAAGAACCAAGTTTCCTTCCAAACTGATAGGGAACGAAGACACTTCACACGCTTAACCCAAATCAGACGGAGAGGATTTCCCCTCGGGGAAAAACCCTTGTTCCTTAGCCACCACTGCAGGGGTCTCATGTGCAGCAGTCCAGATGGTATTACGCTGGACGCAGCCGCCAGGAGACCCAACACTCGTTGAAAGTGTTTTGAGTGTGCGAGAAAGACTCCCCTACCCCGGTCTTCCCTGAGCTCCGTCGGGACTGGATGACGGTCCTCAGATCGCGTCTCTCAGAAGGCTGAGGGTGAGAGCGCCGTCTTGCTGCCCCAGCTCCTCGGGGGGGCCCCCGAGAAGCGACACTCTGCTTCCTCTCCTCTCTGTAGGAGCTCGTAGAGGGAAGGGACCTACGCCTGGCAGCCTCAGCTGCCTTGGGTCCAGACCGGCGAGGGAGGTACTGGCGGAACGCTTCGCCCTGCGTCTAACACTCCGTGGTTCTGTGAAGCTCCGCCAGATCTTCCTCAGAGGGACCCCCCCTCTGAACCATCTCCTGTAGCAGGTCGGCTTGGTAGGCTTGAAGCACCGCCATGGTGTGCAAGCTCGCACCTGCCTGGCCCGCTGCCATGTACGCCTTCCCCACGAGCGTTGATGTGGTGCGACATGGCTGGAGGGTAACGCCGGCTCCTCCAGGGAGGACGCAAGTCGAGGGGAGAGATAGCTCGCAAGCGCATCCTCCACCCGAGGCATCCTCCCATAACCACGGTACCTAACCCCCATCACATTACTGTAGTTCAGTGATCGGGGTGTGGAAAGCCATGTAGAGAAGGGTCTGCCCCATGATTACTCAGTTCATCATGTAAATCAGGAAAGAATGGCAGAGACCGGCGTGGAGGTGGTGCGTGGTGCTTAAGAAACCTTTCATCAAGCTTACCACTAGCCTGTGGTGTCTGCTCCTCCTGTGGCCAGTTGATGTTGAGCTTAGCCACGGCTCTAGTCACCACCTCCAGCAGCACGTCATAGTCGGGCGCCGCCAGATGACACTGCCCCGACACCCGGAAGTCATCGTCCACTACGCTGAGCACGTCCGCCTCCTCGGAGTCGGATTGCTGCAGCGTCTCCGGATCCAAACCGCGAGCGGGAGAAGCCGAGAACGGGCTCCTGAACGAGGAAAGGAAGCGTCGGAGCCAGCGGATGAAGGTCGGGAAAAAGCCTCAGCCGTCCCGAAATCCTCCGACAGATCACGCTGTGAACCCCATGAGTGAAGCCGCCGGGTCCAGTCACTCACCGCACAGCAAAAAGAGAAGGGATCAATTTTTGGTGTTTGACAAGTTACTTAAAAACTGTAATAAGTTACAAATTAATCCTTTAAAAAAGTATTACTTTAATGACTGGGTGATAAGTTACATTACCCACTGCGTTACTATATTGCTTTAGCTACCACCCTCTCCTCCCCCAA